TTAAAATGCATTTTAAGAAGTGAAAAATCTTTCATGGAATTTTAATTTTAGTTTTAATTCCAAGCTAATAAATTAAATTTAATATTCCTAATAAGTAAAATACTAATTCAAATTAAATTCAATATTCCTAATAAGTAAAATACTAATTCAATATTCCTAATGAGTAAAATACTAATTCAATATTCCTAATGAGTAAAATACTAATTCAATATTCCTAATGAGTAAAATACTAATTCAAATTAAATTTAATAATCCTAATAAGTAAAATACTAATTCAAATTGACAGATTTCTGCTGATAAGGTACTTTTCAACTTTGCTTGATTGACCTGAATGTTTAAGAAATCTTATTAAAGAAAAATTTGCACTCTTCAGCAGGAATTGAAACCTGCTACCCTCAGGTCAGTTGGAGCTGTTGTTTAGCCTAGTATGTCTTACCACTTTAAGGTTTCTCAAACATTCAGGTTGTTAGGTGAAAACAATAAATACATGGTTTAATAAATTAATAGAGCATCTACTCAAATATGAGTATCCACTAAAATAATATTTAAAGTGGAAAAATCTATTGGAATAATAAAAATCCATACTCTAAAATTAGACACACACACATATATATATATATATATATATATATATATATATATATATGGGATGCATTTCATCTTTAAGAACTTCAGGCTAAAGTGATGTTTATATTGATGTAACTAAACATGAGAAGTATTAAGTATGGGAAGCCGTTGGTATAACCCAATGGCTTCTGTTACCAATTATAGACATTTAAAGATATTTGTAGAGATTCATAGTTGATTTTGTTTAGGTTAGGTTTTAACTGTTTGAGTCATTAGCTCTAACCACCAAGCTGTATCTCAAGCAAGAAAATGAGGTAACCTTAGTTCTGTATGGAAACATACCATTTCCATTGAATTGTGTCCATGTCTTACAGATTGAAATCTTGGTTCCATTCAATGAAAAATGTACATAAATCAATAAATTCCAAACTTTGTGAAAAGTTGAGTCACATGGGAAACGAGTGATAAAGCAAAATAAATCATTAAAAGGAATTTAAATTTAAAACAAAATATGAAGAAATTATTTAAGCAAAGGGAACCTTTTTAAAAAGTATTCAACAAAGAGTCAATGTTTCTTGATCAATATTTTGCCAGAGACGGGGAGATGAAAATTGAGGAAATAAAGATGTAGAGAGAGAGAGAGAGAAGGAAGTTTGAAATAAGAGGGAGAAAAAAGGATGCAAAGAGAAAGAGAGAGAGTTGGTAAAAGAAAATCTAAGATAAGCACAGAGAGATAGAGGGAGGAAGAAAATAAAGAGAAAAGGAGGTAGAGAGACAGAGTTTGTAAAAGAAAATCTAAAATAAGCACAGAGAAACGGGGGTGTAGACTGAATTGAGAGTGGGGGAGGGAAATCAAGAAAGTGTAGGTAAAGAGAGAGTTGGCAAAAGAAAAATGTAAGACAAGCAGAGAGGGGGTGGGGAGAAAGGAAATCAAGAGAAAATTCAGAGAGTTGGTTAAAGAAGAATATGTAAGACAAGCAGAGAGAGAGAGTGAGAGACATGGAGGAGACTAAAGTAACAACTCTCCAACTTTTTGTACCTTTGTAACTAAATTGTTATCTAAATTACACAAAAATGAAAATAACACCGACATCTCATTTTGACAGACATACACGGTGCGATGGATAAATTGTCGTCAAAATGATGCAAAAATGAAAACAACACTGACATCTCATTTTAACAGATATACAGGATGCGATGGGTAAATTGTCGTCTAAATGACACAAAAATGTAAATAACATTGACATCTCATTTTGACAGATATACAGGGTGCGATGGATAAATTGTCTAAATGACACCAAAATGAAAATAACACTGGCATCTCATTTTAACAGATATATTTACCAAAATTACACAAAAATATCTTGAAATACTAAAGAGTAGATTTATTCAATAAAATCAGCATTGGTTTTGACCATGGTCTTCAGATGGCTTCGGAATCTCCGGCAACTCTTCTGGACAGTTTCCTTGTTTAAGTTGGTGAATGTTGCCATAATCCTTGCCTTCCGTTCATCTTTGGTGTTACAAGGAGCTTTCTTATTCTCTCGCTCAACTGCACCCCACACATAATAATCAAGGGGTTGCAGTCTGGGGAGTCAGGTTGCCAGATGTATGTAGTTGCAGTAATTGTCTGACAGTCATGACTGGGTCCACCTGCTTGTATGGCATGGCACTGAATCCTATTGCCAGACATAAGGTCACCCAGCAGCCACTCTCTTGACCCAGAGCATCACTACCTCCTCAAGGCACTTGATATAGTCCTCAGAGTTGAGTCTGAAGCTTTTGCCAATAATTTTGGGAGTTCTTTTCTGATCAGAGTGAGTCTTATGATCTGCTGTACCTTCGTAATCACCATTAGACTCATCCAACCCTCTGCATTGTCCTCACATTGGTACCCAAAATGTTTGTATTCAAGCTTCTGACATAAATGCCAAGCAGTACAGCATGCCATTTCCAAATTTCTCGTGGAGTGAATTGCATCCTGGTGCTCTCTTTCTCACAGATGGTGCCCAATTGACCTTACTATACTTTACAGTTGACAAAATCAAAAACAAACAATACACAAGTGCAGAATTAAAAATATATAATGGCAACAATTTACCTATCGCACCCCGTATATCTATCTATTGATATAAAAGTTAAAGATCAAATGCAGATCAAATATGGATTGGAATCCAACAGGTTAGGATAAAGAAAAAACAGGAAACATTTATCAATTTAACATCTTTAATAAAAGTGACACATGTTAGATTGATAAACGTTTCATATATATATATATATATATATATATATATATATATAAAAGATCTGTCTGAAAAGTAATAGGGCTGGGTGTGCTATGGGCATCATTTACAGCGAGTTCTTGTCACAGGGCCAGAAAATCAGGCATCCTGCTGTGTTTGCTTTGCTTAGTGCACAAGAAGAGATGAGAGTTGTGGCAGGACAAATTGTGGCTGCACCAGCTCACAATGACTTGAGTATGCAGAAGCTACTGGCCAAGAAGAACAATGCTGTACTGGAACAACCACCCTATTTACATGATTTTGCTCCATGTGACTTTTCTTTTCCTCAAGCTTAAGAAGATCATCAAGAGGGGGCCGTTTTGAAGGTGTGGGGGCCATCAAGAGTTCTGTAATGATGACACTGAGGGGTATCCAAAGAAAATTCTTCCACCTGTGCATACAATGATGGAAAAGTGCATTAGACTCAAGGGGTATAACATTTAAGAGGAAACCATGTAGTCTGTTGTTTTGATTTGAAATAAATTGTTTATGACACCAGTCCCATTACTTTACAGACCTATATATATATATATATATGAAAAATTTCTCAGAGTTAACCTATAGGAAAAGACAATATTTATAAATGTAAAAGACAATAGGAAAACTATAATATTAGCTGACGTGTTTCATCCAATATTTCAGCTAATATTAGTTTTCCTATTGTCTTTTATATATATATATATATATATATATATATATATATATATATAAAAAAAAGAAGAAGATATCAGTTTTTATATATATATATATATATATATATATATACCAGAACAATATTAGTAAAATTAATGACAAATTGGAAAACAACTTTTCATGTGGCAAATTAAATGTATAGTTTTGCAAAGATGGCAAATGGAGCAAAAGAAATTATTATTATTATTATTGTATAGTTACATCTCATGTTGTCTTAGTTTCAAAGTTGTGTAACCCAATAATGGGCCCTCGCCTACCTTTCCAGTGACCAATCAATGACTATCCCACATTGTGGTTCTATTACCATTCACATTGATGTGCACTAAAAACTGGGAAAGGTCTGCTGTATGTTCACATGGAAATCAAATGCCACAGGAAGAAATGAGAATTTGGACCCTGTTTCTAATATATTTAGATACTTTGTTCAGGACTTCATTTGCTGGGACTGGGCAGCTAGGTAGGCAACATTTTGGACAACTTCTGCCATGTCAGTCTAAAAAAGCTTAGCTCTTCCCTCCTACCATCTCTTTGTCAATCTACACATCATAACTTGTGGCTGAAAATATGAATGAGCAGCATTAGAACTACCATAGAGACTGTCCCTTGCCAAGAGCGGATCAGAACCGATTTCCTCAATCCCAACCATAGCCGTTAATATAGACCAAAAACCAGAAATCATTAATGTACGGCATTGTTGTCACTTGACTCCAAATGCTTTCTTTTAGTTATTTATTCTTTCTTTCCTCTTTGGTCAAATGGGTGTCACTTAGAAAAACTCCATCTCCTGGCCATAAAACAGAAACACCTGAAATCAAGGTAAAAATCACACTTTCTTATGTGGGTGTCCCAATCATAGTACTACAGATGAAGACATAGGAATTCGGTCCATTATTGGGGGGGGGGGTCTCATGAACCCTCATTTCCATTAATCAAATATAAATGGATTAATTTTTGGATTCAAAGTATTTGTCTGGTTAAGAGCAAGAATAGTAGCAGGAACAACAAACTAAATACATTTTGTAAAATAATTAGCAAATGGGTCATTCAATCTGAAATCAACCAACTGCCACAGATGACGCTCTCTTGAAATTTTACTGCATTTTGCTAAATAAGACTTTCAGTAAAATTCTGACATTCATAGCTGCAAAGATATTGCATGTACAGATTTGAAAACTTGGTGATAATAATTAATGTTTACTGTAGATTACAAAAATATAAACAGCTTAGATGTGTTTTATGTACTTTTATTTTTATAAGAACATAAAAATGACCAAAATGTCCATTTTGAGAGCTTTCATACACAGCATCCAAATTAGTTTTCCTGTCATGTATAACCTAATAGATTGTTTCAATGCCATTTCCATATTTATTTCTGTTATAGAAATGTCAATGTTAGTTTTTGAATTTCTAAAAATGAACCAGCATAAAATAAAATTAAAAGAAAAGATAAAAACTTACCAGGTTAACCAATGGACCACCTGAATTTCCAAACTGGAATTAAAAAAAAAAAAAAAAAAAAAAAATTATTTTAAAGTTAAATTAATTTTTTAATGTCATCTAGCTTACTTGCTTTGAAATAAACAAAAAATTCTTTAACTTGAATTACAACCAAATCAAGAAGGAATCCAGTATAAAATCCAAAACCTGGCAATGTGACGATTACAAAAGAAAACTAAGTTTTTCTTACAATTTATTGTCACCCAAATTTGGGACACTAATATCATGGAAGATGAGAAATCTATTTTCCTGAAAAATGCTCTCAAGAGAAAGATTTTTAAAAATTTTAACCAACAGTAATGCTAACTGTTGAATCAATGAATGTCAAATGTTTCCTTAGAAGGGAACAACTAATATCACCATTACTGTTACTATACAATGGTTGAAATATTAAAGCTAAAATGACTCCAAAAGATCTCAATAGATTTATTACTCAATGGAGTTATAGAAAGTTAATACACATGTAACAAAAAATAAGAAAAATATTTTTATCAAAATTTTCTAATAAAAAATTTTCAAAAATAATTTCATTTATTTGTGAATAAGTCCTGAGAATTTCATTAAAATCTGTAAATTATTTGATTTTTGCATATTAATATCAGTCATTGCAAAAAACAAAAAAAAAAAAAAAAAAAAGAGGCCAAAATTTGCTATGCTGAAAGTTAGTACAACTCCTGATGCAAAAAAAAAAAAAAAAAAAAATCAAGTTTGTTTAATCAAAATTTCGAATGTTCAAAAAGGAGCAAAAGATTTAGTTAATTATTCAAAAAAATACTTTGATCCTTTCTCTGAATAATAACAAAGATTTTAACAATAAAAACACGTTTTCATTATGTTTGGAGCATGTTTTCATCACAGTATGCTGAATTTTTAGTGTTTTTGTGGAGGTACTTAATATATAGTGACAAATGCTAATGATAGGGAAAAAATAAAACAATCACAATTATATTTTAGCAAAAGTGGTATTTCAAACACACAGAATTTAAAATTTGCTAGATTTATTAGGTAAGAGTGCTCAATATCAGAGATAGTGCATTTGCAGGTATAAACATGGCCTGATGACAGCTTAAGGCCCAAAAATGACAGTCACTATACAGTGGTGATTTTAATTCCCCCATATATATATATATATATATATATATATATATATATATATATATATATATATATGGTAGATTCTCCCATGTTATTTGGCATATGAGGGTTAAGAACCTCAGTTCCTAGGAACTGACAGTCAGACACCAGCACATATAATTTGATTATAGTGGTGAAGGTTTTGTGCTGAACCAACCACCCTTTTTGAGGGGCCAAATACAGAGACATGGTGCACTATTATGCCACAAGGTCCCCAAATGACCCTCTACAGGTTTTGAATTCAGAGTTGTCCTTTTCCTAGACCAGTTGCCATCCAAGGCTATAGAACCCAGTCTGTCCTATTATACCCATAGCTGGAGGGAGAAGAGGACTCATGCCTTTCCCAAGGGTATTAGCACGTAAGTGAATGCAATGGATTCAACTGAAATTTGAACTCTTCTATCCAATTCGAGCCACTATCCACTACTCCACTGTCCTTTCTCCCTCCCTAAATATATATATATATATATATACACACACACACACACACACACACACACACAAACACACGCCACATGAAAAGGAATATTGTTGCCTGTCTTACTTGTATATATCTCTTTGAATTTTATTCTTTAATTTTTTTTATTTAACTTTTTTTTTTTTTTTTTTACTTGGTACTAACATTTTCCTTTTTCTTTTTTTAAACCAAAGTAAATTTATTCTACCCACTTTTTGAAAACTGTCTCAATATTAAATCTTTGATTTTTCTGACTCATACAAGTATTGGATGTTATTTTTATTCCTGGCTCACAGACTTGGAGTGTTGTTTTCAACGGAAAGCGCATGTTGGCACTTAAACTAAGTTGAAACTTTATATTTCAGTTTTCAGATTCCCTATCCATACCCCTTCTGAGTCAAAGCTTCTCCTGTACTCATCCATACAATCCATATGGACAGGGTGTAGTGAATGCACAAGCATCTCCCATTATGCTCTCCTCTCAATGTGCCTTCTAGCTCACAAGCAATCTATACATATATAGCTTGTGCCATGGTGTCTGTGGCTCCCAACTTGGCTCACCAGTTAATTTTTCTGAGTGAAATTCATTCTTTTCAATGGTACCTTCTCTGGATGCCATGCACGTTGTTGATCAATTTTTGTTTGTTTGTGATTTTGTTTTTTTTTTTTTTTTTATGAGAGTACAGAGGCTTTCCTCTCGTCCGGTCAATACTTTTCTCTCTTCTCTTGAACAGGAGTAGAGGCTCATCCCTTGTTTCCTGTTTAGGAAGGGGGTTCCCAGATCCTTTCTTTTTCTCTGATTTCAGTAGTAGTGTTGTTGTGAATCTCATGTGATGTCTGTGGTTTACAGCAACATCTCTTCATGTTGAGAGTACCAGGTTGGCAGTTTTCTGGTTGCTGTTCCTGACTGGAAGTTAAGAGCCCAAACTCTTGTTTAGTGTTTTTAGAGGCTGCACTGATCAACAGTTGCAAAAAATGCGGGGATCTTGCAGTGCCATGTCACGCATGGAAGGGTGTCCCTCTATGCACCTTCAGTGGGCAACTCTGAGGCCACAGTATGTTGCAGTATGTGCCAGTTCCTTTCTGCCCATGTCACATATGATGACTGCCTGCTCGTATTATAGTAGGCTTTTTCCTTACCAACGTAACTCAACATGACCATAAACAACCAAAAATATAAACCTAAACCAGCTCAAAACAAAAACTCATAAACCCTTTAACATTTCCTTCTTTAAGATCCATGGCATTTATATCAACTTCTGCGGAGTGGAATCATCCCTCTTCAAAAAGTCTCCTGATATACTGGCTCTCTGCAAGATTAACCTTAACTCGTCAATTCCTTCCTTTGATTTCTCAATTCCTGGTGACCTTCCTTTCCTTAGAAAGTACTCTAAAATCCACATGCATATCCTGGGAGTTTATATCCATCACCATCTCCCACTGGCTAGGGAACTCTCTTTGGAATCTCCAGACCATTCATATATGTGTCTATCTCTCCTCAATCCAGTAAGCTATCTCTTTCCTCTATTGTTCCCCTTCCTCTCAAAACTGTGATATACTTGATAGCATTTCCGATAATATAGACAAGGCCATCTCTCTACATCTGTTTGCATACATAGTTGTGTTCAGTGATTTTAATGCCCACCGTACCATGTGGCTTTGTAACTGACCTCGCTGGCATCCAAACCTTTAACTTCTCAATCACTCAATCCCTCACACAAGTGGTTGACTTTCCTACACGTTTCCCCAGTAACCCTGATAGTAACACTTCCCTTCAAAACAAAGAAGGAAAATAGAAATAAAGAAGGAAAAAGCAAAAAGAAAAGAAAAAAATCATATATACACACTGGAGTGATTAATTTGAATCATCATTAAATAATTCACTGATCTACACAGAATTACTTAAGTACAATCAAAGACATTTATAATTGTGTATTTAGGCAGCAATCCCTCTTTTATACAGGTTTCATTGTAGATAACTGACAAGGCACTGCAGTTAAGTTTTTTATTATTATATTTTTCTTGCATTCCTACAAGTCATTGCTTTTCTGGACAGTGTGTAAAAACTGTCTAAATGATTTGTAGATCTGAGAACTTTTGCCTAATTAAGGATGTTTTTTTTTGCTTAACTGAATATGTAGATGTTTGTTTTTTAACATATAGCAATGGGAATGTTTTAATTTTCAAACACAATTGATTTTTTTTATTGTCAATACTTCAATTATTTTTAAGCCTTTTCTGCATTTAGATGAGTCTCTTATATTCCAATTTTCCACAAGCATGTTAGGGGGGGTGCAGAGTTTGTTAGGTCTGTGTGTATTTAAATGGGTCCTAATGAATTTAGGATCTAATTACAATGGATATACAACTACATGCTTATCAAGAAAACTTACTTTGCAAGTCTTCTTCATAGGCATGTATCAGGTCATCCCATAAGTTCTGTCTGAATTTTGAATAAAGAAAACAAGTGACCAAATGTTACATTTAATTACAGATTCAATCAACAATGTATTTTCCCTGATTATCTATGACTTCCTTCCATCTATTAACAAGCTTACTAATTCCATTACTGTAAAATTCTTTTGGCTTTGATTCGAAGAACTCACAAATGTCAGTTTTAACCTCTTCCTGTGTTACAAAAGCTGTTACTTCCAAATGATTCTGTAAGCAAGAAACAAATGGTAGTCTGAAGGAGCAAGATCGGGAGAATAAGGTGGATGAGGAATTTTCTCCCAACCAAGTTCTTCGATCTTTTGTGACGTGATTCTTGCTGTGTGGGGTCGCACATTGTCCTGATGAAACATCACCTCTTTTCGATTCACTAGAGCAGGTCTTTTTTTCCTCAAGGCTTGGTTCAAAGGCTCTAATTGCTGACAGTATATTTGAGCATTAATTGTTGCATTAGGTGGTAAGAATTCAAAGTGGATTATTCCTTGGTGATCCCACCAGATTGAAAGAAGAACCTTTTGCCCATGAAGTTCCCTTCTCGGCTGTGGCTGGGGTCCTTCCCCTTTACCAAGCCACTGTCTACGACACTTAACATTTCGATAAAAGATCCATTTTTCGTCACCAGTCACAAGTCTATCCAAAAAAGTGGAAACAAGACGAGAATAGAGAGAAGAGCAGATGTCAACTCGGGATTAGAGGTTGTTTTCAGACAATACATGAGGCACCCATTTTCCAAGTTTAGGAACTTTTCCAAGTTGTTGAAGATGATGATGAACAGTTGTATGGTTTGAACTAAGAACCACTGCCAATTCCTCAACTGATAAAGCAGGATTTTCTTCAAGGGCTGCTTCAAGAAGCTTTTCATGAAACTCAACTGGACATCCAGTTCGATCTTCATCTTCACGTGTGAAATCTCCACCTCTGAATTTTGCAAACCATCTTCTGCAAGTTCTTTCATTCACACATTCCTCTCCATAAACTGAGTGAATGTTTCTAGCCGCTTCGGCTGCTGAGTTTCCTTTCTTGAACTCATAAAGCATTATGTGCCTCAAATGATTCTTGGGTACTTCCATGTTAGCAGGGTTTTAATCAAACAAAATTTAATTTTATTGTTCTCTGAAATAAAATTTGATCAGTTTAAATGCATCTAAACATAAGAATAATGTTCAGCTCCATTAGACATTCTAAAATACTCTTTAAATTTCGTTAATTTTAACAAAAAGTTAAAATTCGGACAGAACTTATGGGATGACCTGATAGTTGTATATCCATTGTAATTATTATTCATGAATTTGTTTTCAGCAAGAATGCACTTTTTATCAAGAATATAAATACATAAATAATGTTGGTCCTGTGTAGTGTTTTTGTTGGGGAGTTGTTATTAATGATGAGGTTGGCAGTTTTAATATTTTATAATAGATAATTAAATCTATTTTTATACTGTACAAATATATTTTTCTTTTCTTATTCTGCATAATTCACATGTCAAATTTGATGTATTTAATCTATTGTTCTGAAAATTGAGTTTTATATTGCTTTTTTGTGTTTATTAACATATAAAAACCTGGCACCATTCTGTGAAATGGTAAAAAATATTCAAAATTGATGAGTGTACAAATAATTTCGTCATTAACTATATATATATATATATGATACTAAAAAGAAAAATAGCAAGTCAGGCCAATGCTTGGATATCTTTGATAGTTTATTTAAGTGGGCATGAATAGCATTACAGATTATCATCCACAAGTAACTGCCTTGACGAGACTAAGTTTGAAACCCATTTAGTGTGTTGCGTGTGGATTTTTCCTAATTTTATATTTTATATATATGTGTATGTGTGTGTGTGTGTGTGTGTGTACATATATATATTTTTATGCTGTGATTTGATTTTTAGCAGATAAATTAGAATGTATTCTTCAATCCTTAGTCTTTTGAACAGGAGTAGAGTTTTATCCCTTGTTTCTTGTTTAGGTTTGGATTTCCAGTTCCTTCTAAAGTCTTTTCATTGTCTTTCACTCCCAGGAGCGCCTTGCATTTTAGTGGCATTATTTCCTTACCTTGGGTGAATTGATTAAAAAAGAAAAAAAAAGAAAAAAAAAAAAAAAGAAAAAGAAAAAAAAAAAAAAAAAAAAAAAAAAAAAAAAAAAAAAAAAAAAAAAAAAAAAAAAAAAGAAAAAAAAAAAAAAAAAAAAAAAAAAAAAAAAAGAAAAGAAAAAAAAAAGAAAAAGAAAAAAAAAGAAAAAGAAGAAAAAAAAAGAAAAAGAAGAAAAAAAAAAAAAAAAAAAAAAAAAAAAAAAAGAAAAAAAAAAAAGAAAAAAAAAAAAAAAAAAAAAAAAAAAAAAAGAAAAAAAAAAAAAAAAAGAAAAAGAAGAAAAAAAAAGCAAAAAAAGCAAAAGAAGAAAAAAAAGCAAAAGAAGAAAAAAAAGCAAAAGGAAAAAAAAAGGTTGCATGACATACATTGATCACTGCGTCTGTCTGGATATAAGTCATGTTCCGATGGTGGAGACCCAACTCTGCACTTCCCCGATGAGGTGTGCTCACAATTCCAGATGTTACTGTGTTGGTCAATGATAATGGGCTACCCATGGCTATTACCCATTCTCCTGGTCGAAGGGAATTTGACTCACCCAAATTAAGAATCGGTAAACCAGCCTAAAAGAAAAGAGGAAAAAAAAATGGATCATTAAACAAACACAGAATTCTAAGAATGCATTGGTTTAAGGTAATGGCTAGAAAAGTTAGTCTACTTGATTATTATGGCTGAATAGTAAAAAAAAAAAAAATCATCAGTCACTACATTTTCATATAAAAAGAAAATCATTGGTCAATGCATTTTCAAAGTAAAAATCATATACATACATTTACTTTACATTTTAATATAGTGACCCTTCTTCTCAATAACAGCCAGTAATCTATTTGTTGTATCCTTAAAGAAGGTTACAAACAAAGATGGTCCTTGAGTGAAAGGAATAGCAACACAGGCATAGATGAAAGAAAGAGGTTTATTTAAAAAGAGAATACACTACTGAAAGACAGGGAATCAGTTAGTAGTCTAGTAATTCTTGAAGCAAGTCCACAGTATATCCTGTGCTCATTATATATATCTACCAATATAGTTATTCCACGTATGCAACAGGGAGTGTGGGACATTCCATTACAACGCCTCCCCTGAGCTAATTTTCCCCATAAAATTTTGCTCAATACCTCTTCTTTTGGGGTTCAGGACATAACTGTGACTTTTTTCCTCTTCCTAGTACATTTTTGTCTCACCACTATTATCCACTGATTTTATTAATTTTTTTTTTTTTTTTTTTTTTTTACCTCAGCAGGTTCAATTTCAAACAAGGTAGTTTTAATTGCTTCCAATAGATCTGCTTTGCTGTTATATTGTTCGCCAACTTCATATAATTTCATCTTCACAATTCACCATAGATCTTCAATCAGATCAGAAATTGATGGTGGCCATTCCATTATCTTCTCTCCTGCAAATCTATTATGCTCAAAGAATTCACAGGTAAGCTAAGATACATGAGAAGGAGCATTGTCGTGCATAAATACACATTTCAATTTGAAACTGAAAGCCTGGTACTTGTACCATGCAAAGAAAGTTTTGTTAATAAAAATCTCAAAAGTTAACACCAGTTTAACACCTTCATTAACTTTGAATGATCCAATAATGCTTTGGTTGACAATTCCAGCCCTTATCATAAAACTACAGCCTCCTGTCTTCTTTTAGGTCACAAGCACATCTGAATTGGATCAAATCTATCCTTTGGCCCATCTATCAGTTCCATCAAATGTCACTTAAGATTTGTTCATAAAAATTACTTTAGAAAAATCAATTTTCATGTATTTCTTGGCCCAATTTTGAAGCTTTAAAATATTTGCTTTCGTCAGGAGGTTGCCCAGGATTTATTTTTTTATTTTATTTTATTTTTTTTTTTAAACAGACCCCAATTCACAAAGTATTCTTCACCTTTTGTCTTTCTTGACTCCCTCAATTCCAGCTTTTTCAAAGATCTGAGCACTGGTCAAAATTGGTGATTTCACTATAACTCACTTTAGTTTATGTTCATCTTGAGGAAGCAAGTTCTTAAAGACTTTTCCTTGAGCTCCCAACTTGTATTTTCAATAGTTTTCTTTATCTTTTTATGATTTCTGAAAAGCTCCTTTGATATCTTCAACATAGACATTTCCTGATTCAAAAACTTTATTTTCCATTTTTCAGCAGTTGTTAGATCCTTCCATTTACCCATGTTTCAAGATATATTATGAACAAAAACAAAATATAGTTTTTATTAGATTTCAGAGGTCTTAAGCTAATATTAGTTTAATCTATATAATAAATTCAGTTGGTCCATTTTCATAAATACCAAATATCTCAAAAACTAACCTTCAAAAATAGCAGAAAATTTAGTTAAATATTTTACTAAGAGTGGAAATAGATGAGTTTAAATTTGAAAAGTATTGGTTCAGAACTTTTTGAGTTTATTTGATTTGCATAATAACTTCACACAGGCTGTAGTTGTCAATCTAGTAATATGCTTAAATTCATGGAATTGAGGTACCAAAGAGGAGAGAGAGCTCATAACAATTGCCATGAAAATATTTGTAGAAAAGACAGAGGGAAGCCACTTCATGTTGATGAGAAAGAAACTGAAGTTGAGATGCCAGGTCAGGATTGATTATATCACAGACTTTGAATTTTGTAAAGAATCTCGAGATATACAGCAGAAGTACTAGATATGTTAGATTTAGATATTTATTCTTTAATGTTTTAGTTAAGAAGTGTGTAATTAGATAATTCCTTTGTATTTCTGCCTGGTTAGGGCATGTCAAATGTTCAGCATTCAGTCAGGGTATGAATACTAGATGCTGAGTCACTTTCACTTTGAATATACACTCTTTAGCGCTATAAGGTGTCATCAGTGATGTTCTGATTTGGATCACTGAGCAGTTTTGGGTCTTTCAAACAGCATACTGCCCTCACCAAGTTGAACCCATCAGAGCTGATCAGTCTCTGATCTGCCGTCTAAATTAACAGCCTGCAGACACTGACTTATATTAGGCAAACATAACCTGTTACCATACATTTGATTGGAAGTTGACCAACAGCCAATCACAATGGTGTGAGCTCTATTTAAATTCAGTATTGGCTAAACAAATAAGAGTAAAGCAGATGACCTAGATTCATTAATGAGACAAACAAGCTGACCACATGGACTGTGTCCGAGGTGTGGATGGTGTATTCATATTCTTACAGCTGGTGCACAAGCGTCCTTGCAAGTTTGACTTTACGAGGAGTAAGTTGGTCACTGAAAATCTATGTGGTTAGGTGGATATTTGCATTGTCACAGTTCAGTGAGAGCCTTCTTTGTGACTTAGAGAGATCATCCCAGGAAAACAAGTAGATTTAGCAGTTTGGAAGTTGAACATTGGAAAACATTCAGCAAAAAGTAAGACTTGGAAAACCAAATCAATTTCTCATATGGATGTCACAGATGGCACTCAACTCATTCAGAAATACCTAAACTATCATTTATATTAGATACCTGCTCTTTTTCAGGAAAAATGATGAAAAAGGCCCCAGACTTAATGAAAAAGTTTTATTATCAAAATATTTGTTATTATTAAAAAATTTAATAAAATATAAAAAATAGTTTGATCTTTCCTGACCAAAGCATTTTTTATTATTTTATTAAATTTGTTAATCCTGTCTAGAATGTTTAAATTTTGGTTTTGGTTTGTTTTATGGCATATCAACATCTCAATAGGTTATTTAATGCTAACAAGATTTTTATTGCTGGTAATATTATTTTTTCAAAAATGTATTGCTGGTATTAAAACCTATTTTTATATTTTCATAACCTCTTTTGTCCTCTTTTGTGGGGGTTAACTATTTTCCCATAGCTGGGACCCTTACAGGTGCTACCACCCTGGGTCAGGGTGGACCTGGGAATTAAGAGATGGTTCCACACTCCTCAAAACCTTCTGATCAAAGGCCTTGCAGTCACATGTAGTTTACCATCTTACCCAGGATGGTTTAAATTTTGGTAAAAAAGTCAGCAGTGGGCCAAAGATTACGATGGGAAATTTAGCATCTTTTTTTTGTGGTAAAAAACACATTGTTTTGGAAATTCTTGTAAAATTCAAACAATTGTTAGATTTTAATGAAATTTTTAGGACTTATTTACAAATGAATAATTTTTTTTGATAATTTTTTTTAAGAAAAAGTTGGTAAAATTTTTTTTTTTTTTTTTTACATTTGTTACTCCCAACTTAAGTGTTTTGCTTACTGGAAATAGTAAATTTAATCCTTTAGCTTTGAATTAAAGCTAAAATGAAAGCTTCAAGAATGCTTTTTCATTTTTAAAAATTCATTTAAAAATATAAAAATCCCCCCAAATTTTCTCAAATTGAGTATAGCATGATGAAAAAAAGCCACAAACTTGATTAAAAAAAAAAAAAAAAAAAAAAAAATCGTTTTATCGTCAAAATGTTTATGTTATTAAGACGAAACACCCAAGTTCTTTATTGATTATTTTATTAAATTTTTTAATCCTTTCAAGCATGTTCTAAATTTTAGTTAAAAATTTTGTTTTTCTAGTGTCAACAGTGGGCCAAAGATTATTATAGGAATTTTTAGTGTTTTTTGGGGGGCATTAAAAAAAAAAAAAACATTGTTTTGGAAATTCTTGCAAAAATTAAATAATTGTTGGATTTTCATGGAATTTTTAGGACTTTTATAAATACGATATATTAAGAACACTATTATCTTCAGAAAAAAAAAAATATTTTCGATGATTAAATTTTTACAAGAATTTTTTTCATTTTTCTTAAATTTTAATTATGAAAATTTATTAAGTTATAAATCTTAAAATTCTTATTAATTTCAGCCTTTTAGATTTTTATTAAGTGAAAACTATATTTACTAATTATAAATGGAAACGTTTAATACAAATCATCAAACACCAATATTTTAAAAATAATTTTGAAATTTTTTTTGTATGTGTATAAATATGCCGATTTTTGTTAGTACAGTTGACCATATACAACATTATCAGAAAATAAGAGCTATGTAAATTTAAAGCCAACATATCTAAATTCAATAAAACATCATGGAAAATATTTTCCTAAATTTTCAAAATTACTGAGTATTTATGAATTATATAAAAAAGACGCAGTCATGTCATTTTATTAAATTATACATAAGTCTCCATAGAACATTAGACCTGTCATCAGGCTGTCAACATGTCAAAAGAGCTACTATGGTCATTACTGCAATATTTTAAACATAAAGTAAATAATATTTGTTTCAGATCAGATTAATTATACTTTAAATTAGCTAATATTCCTCAATTAAAGTTTCAGAAAATAGAATATTTTTCTTTTGGAAGATTTTTTTTTAATAAAGAGAATTACATTGCAATGAACGTTAACTAAAAAAGGTGTTAATCAGCTATTTTAGAAAAAAAAAAAAAAAAAAAAAACTCCTTCCAGTCAATTTAAATTAGTTTTTTTTTAAATAGGGTTAGGTATTTTGCTTATTGGAAATATTAAATTTAATCTATTAGCTTGAAATTAAAACTAAAATAAAAAGTTCAAGAAAGATTTTTCATTTTAAAAAAAATTTATGTTAAACTAGGTACCTC